TTCAAGATCTACGACCGGCTTTGAATGGCAACGTTGGTAGTGAGAAGCTGTTACTATACTAGTTAGCTTCTCAAAACAGACGGTTATTCATTGGTAACTCCGTTTGTTGTTGTTTTTAGCTTATTGTTAAGAGCATTGTTCTTAATCTCGGTACCAGACTCCCGATTGAATAGATATTTCTTTGTAAATTTCTATTTTATGTCACTTTTGAAGAATGTATGTTGCATAGCATACGAAACGTCAAGTAAAGTTAAGTTTTTACAACATGCGTTGTTGAATAATGTTTATATCTGTTCTTAATCAGCAATCAAATAATTGATGACGTCAAAAAAGAGTTTTGTAGTACTAACACTGGTAGGAAAAATATTTATTCCGATTTTTTTTTCTGATTCTTGTTCTAGTCATCCCGTAAGGTGTGGTAAGGCATCTGACCGGTAACCAGGAGACCCGGGTTCAAATCCCGGCTGGGACACATTTTTCAACTCATAATCTTTGTTGTTGTGTTCCTGTTTCCATTACTTAACTGTCTATGAATTTATTTCAGAAACCGCTGTTGAATCGCCTTCCAAACGAGAATAGGTTGATGATCCAAGGATTATGAGGCAAGTAGTTGTACCTATATTCCCTGTCCCATACTCTAAAACTTTCTAATTCCTTTAAATTTGCTTTCTTTACACACACTTCCAAGTGTTCCTATCCACGTTTAGAGAGTGTTATTCCTTCTCATTGGACCAGTTTGACTCAAAGTGTGTGTTTTGGAGTTTAGAAGAACGATAGAAGGTCGCTCGTTTTGGCTCTTTCTAATTGTAGTTGTGTTGAATCATCAAATTGGAAAAGATGATCGTCCCCGGAGTATGATTGTTTTTTTTATTGGCTCTATGTGTTTAGCTTTAATCAATAAATGTTTCGGAATAGTCGCTTATGACCTGATAGAAGTGAAGGAAATTCGTTTTACAGGAGTATTTAACCATTATAGCTGCCCATCTTTGTTTAGCAGATCTTGAATAGACAGAATATCTCTCCTGAATCATTCATTCATGAACACGGGTTTTCCCCCAACAAGTATTTCTTTGTTTATTAAATATAATTATATCTTGTGCTTGTTCATAGTTATAGAATCTTCAATTCCTTGAAAATGTGCTAGAATGTCTTTGTAAACCGCTGGCCAAACCTTGTAGATATTTCACATCATAGTTACACCTTAAGAGAAAGTTCAGACCTCCTAGTTTTCCTAAGTAATAATCCGAGAACCGTTTTCCAGTTCTTTTTTCCCTTGGGTAAGAAGGTTCTTGGAATCCAAACTGGAGATAATACACTAGGAGGTGGGACCCCATTTTTTGGCTACGCATTTTTCAAAATTCAAAATGTCATATCTCATCCAAATTTTGAGATAATGACAAACGGTTTTCGGCTTTTAACTCATCTGTGATGTGACCTTTCGTGAAACGCTAGAAAAAAATTGCATATTAAAAACTTTAAATCAAGACTATGATATGACGTCATCAATTGTAACGTTATAATTTGACATTTTCTGTCGTCATTGATATCAAAATGTTTGAAACAGAATCCCATACTCACTTGCCACGTTTGGTAAAGAAATGCCTCAAAAGCAACTAAAAAAATGTAAATTATATAAAATACCCAAGTTTTGATGAAACATTTGGGGGCGTGGGGGATACAAGTAACTAGCGATACAACCCCTCACTGGCCAACACAAGAGAATTGAATGCCGTGTAATTATTAAAACGAAATTTGGCAATAAACAAAAATAAACAGACAGTGACAAAAAACGACTACAGTCGAAACAGATTCAAATTATAGTAAACAGTCGAACCACTATTAATTTATTGTAGCTTCGGTAGAAGCTCAAGCAGTAGCCTCTGGACTAAGACCAAATGTGATACCGTTATTCCAAACGACACATCTTGCAACAGCTTTGTAAAATAACTGGTCAAATCAAATTGCCGGGCCCGGCTTGAAAGGAAATACAAGAAATCAACCTCCTACACGGAATATTTCATACAGTAAACAACCCGCTTATAAGAAACCTAGTGGATTAAGAACCTACAGGCTGAAATTTTGGATATTAGATCCCCATTATATAATAACCCATTCAGCCTGACATTTGAAATAGGTTCTTATTTGTAAGATCAGTCCAATAAAAAAGCAGGCATTGTATGAGTAAAATGTACTTTACTACAAACTGTACAATACTTATTTGATCTATTGAGTTGCCTACCTATTATCTAAAAATCCAGTTCCCAGGATTAAAGTACACATGTATTCTGAACAGTAGCAAAACAGTTTAAACCCCTGAATTAATAAGAAACCTAATTAAGAACCTAAACAGCCTGATTTCCCACTAAAACACCCGATATATAAGAAACTATTCAGGCTGACTTGTAAAAATGTAGGTTCTTATAAGCGGGTGTTTACTGTATCTAGTCCTTGCAGATAGAACATCTTAAGAGATGCAAAATACGGAGGTGTCAAACTTTACAGGGCGAAATCCTGAAAGGAAAGCCAAACATGACCTCTTAAACAATTTGCTGTAGTCAAAGGCTCTATTTGAAAATCCTCCTCATAATTCAAAAACATATTTTGACTGTTAGAAACACACTTTGAAGGACCTTGAAGCAAACCGAATTTAAAACAGAACGGCAATGTAAAAATAGCTGCAAATGTCACGAACTGTAGGAGTCGTGCAGGCCTGTCACCTTTTTTTAAAGTGCAAAAAATCGTTACCCAACATGGCGACCTAAAGGAGCCTTTGATTTTGTATGTGGATTCTATTGCGCTATGCGCGGTTTTAAATTTGAGAAAAAACTATATCTATATATTACCTGAACGATTTTGCCCAAAACCTAAGCTCGTCTTGTAGTTTTGAGTCGTAGCAGCACAAACACGAAATTTTCCACACGGAGACAGTTAAACATATCGTAGCTGCTGTTTGTAACTGGTGGTTTTTAGAGTGGGGCTTTTTGTAAAACGTGTTCCTAGCCTGTATAGACATTAATTAATGTCAGTCAATGCGACTGGTTCCTGAAGTTTTGTCAGTGATACGTGACGTTCGTATGGATCGATTTTTGAAAATATTGGACGAGTTTAAAAATGATTGGTTTTGGCCTGGACGTTTTTTACGTCGTTTTTTATGTCACCAATATCAATGTATCGGAAAAATTGTTCTTTGCTTAGTTATCTTAGCGGGGTTTTGGTTTCAGTATTGAAATTTCCGTGTAGATTAAATACATTGTAATAGATAAAAGTTACAGATTTTTTCCCAAATCCTAAGCTCGTCGTGTAGTGTTGAGTCGTAACTACCAGCACAAACACGAAATATACAGTTAAACACCTCGCAGCTGCTGGTTTTAATTTTGAGGAAGTTAACTGCTGTATTTTAGAGTGGGCTTTTTGTATAAAATGTTCCTGTTTAGTTATGACTTAATTTCAGTCAAAAGCGTTGTTGATCTATATGATTTCTCTTCTCTATGTGGATGGAGTATTAAAAATACTGGAAGAGTTTTAAAACGATTGGTTTTGCACTGGACGTTTCTTATGTTGCCAATATCATAAATATTTTCGTGTAGATTGAAGCAATTGTAATAGATAAAAGTCATTCGAAGCAAAACTAGGGGCAACGTTTCGCGGATAACACAAATAATTTTGAATTTCAGTGGTTCAAGAAGTTCACGAAGCTTTAAGTGGTGGGCAGAACTACTAGCTTTCTTTAAGGAAACCGTTGGATTTCAGTTTTTAGATCTGTTTCTAATCCTTTCTTTTATCTCCGTCTACACGAGAGAGGGAATACCTCGGGTTTGTACAAAAGTTTGAATTTCATTTTAGTTTTAGTTTTATCAAAAATTATTTTGAATTTTAATTACTTAGCTTTTTGAACGCTGTCACAAAGTTATAGGATAATATTAATTGTCAAACTCACCACGTGTCTAGAGGCCTGTATTTTATTTTTCAAGCGCGAGAAAATAACTTTCTTTTACGAGAATTGAGCATTTCTTCGTCAGCGTCAGCTTTTCCGAGCATCGAGAAATGGAACACTTGATTTTACAAGTATCGCGCATTTTCCATTATCACTTTTTTACAAACTGGGAAAGTTTATTTTCGTGGCAATGACAACTGCAGTCCCCGGAAAAGGAGGGGGGGGGGGGGGGAGGGTCGCCTTAGCCTTGCTTAAAAATGACCACCGTTCAGTTATCTGGTACCTTTTAGGGTTGTATTTTAAACCCCAAAAATATATGACAGGAATCTCTTGTTGTTTTAGAATTGGTACCTCTTAGAGGTGGAAATGGATATAAGTCACGCACACAAAACGCTTTTCTAGTCGATCACTTCCTTCGCTTTTATATGGGAGCACCCTTTGGGAGTTACAGTAGAAGCGAGATCTCCTGAGACACTCCCTCTACAATCTGTTGCAGTCTTTTTTGTGTGTGTGGTGTGTGGTTTAAATTTGAGAAAAACTATACTGATTCAAATTACCTGAAAGATTTTGCCCAAATCGTAAGCTCGTCTTGTAGTGTTGAGTCGTAACTACTAGCACAAACATGAAATATTGCACACGGAGACAGTTAAACATCCCGCAGCTGCTGTTTGTAACTGGTGGTTTTTAGAGTGGTGCTTTTTGTAAAACGTGTTCCTAGCCTGTATAGACATTAATTAATTTCAGTCAATGCGATTGGTTCCTGAATTTTTGTCAGTGACACGCGACGTTCGTACAATGTCAAAAGCGTTGATCTATATGGATCGATTTTTGAAAATATTGGACGAGTTTAAAAATGATTGGTTTTGGCCTGGACGTTTTTTACGTCGTTTTTTATGTCGCCAATATCAATGTATCGGAAAAATTGTTCGTTGCTTAGTTATCTTAGCAGGGTTTTGGTTTCAGTATTGAAATTTTCGTGTAGATTAATTGTAATAGATAAAAGTTATAGATTTTTGCCCAAATCCTAAGCTCGTCGTGTAGTGTTGAGTCGTAACTACCAGCACAAACACGAAATATTGCACACGGAGACAGCTAAACACCTCGCAGCTGCTGGTTTTAATTTTGGGGAAGTTAAGTGCTGTATTTTAGAGTGGGCTTTTTGTATGATATGTTCCTGTTTAGCAACGTTTCGCGGATAACATAAATAATTTTGAATTTCTGGTTCAAGAAGTTCACCGACGAAGCTCACGGATTATTCATACTTTAAGTAGTGGGCAGAACTAGCTGTCTTTAAGAAAATCGTTGGATTTCAGTTTTTTAGATCTGTTTCTAATCCTTTCTTTTATCTCCCGTCTACACGAGAGAGAGAATACCTCGGGTTTGTACAAAAGTTTGAATTTCATTTTAGTTTTAGTTTTATCAAAAATTATTTTGAATTTTAATTACTTAGCTTTTTGAACGCTGTCACAAAGTTACAGAATAACATTTATTGTCAAACTCACGCGTGTCTAGAGGCCTATACTTTATTTTCCAAGCGC